TTGAATGGACCCATAACCAGAAAAAATATTGAATCAGTAGTCAAAAATCTCTCAACAAAAAAGGGCCGTCTGAGTGGCCCAGTTGGTTAAGTGTCCAAATCTTGATTTCAGCTCAGGATATAATCTCACAGTTGGTGAGTTTGAGCCCTGTGTTGAGCTCAGCATTGAAAGCAGGGAGCCTGCTTGGGATTCCCTCTCTCCTTTTCCCTCTGCCTCTCTCCTGCTTATGTTCTCTCTCTCTCTCAAAATAAATAGATTTTATTTAAAAAAAATAAGAAAAGTAAAAAGATTTTTAAAATTTCCCAACAAACATAAGTCCAGGGCCAGATGCCTTCCCAGGGGAATTCTACCAAATACTGAAAGAAGGTTAATATCTATACTTCTCAAAGTGTTCCAAAAAATAGAAGTGGAAGGGAAACTTCCAAACTTATTCTAAAAGGCCAACATTACTTTGATTCTAAAACCAAAGACCTCACAAAAGAGAACTACTGTTGTAGACTCTGGATCTGGAGTTCTCTCTTGTCCAGCAAAAGAGTGGGACACAGGATTAAAAAATGTGAGAGAGGCTAATGTCTGGGAGAAGACAAAAGCCCTGAATAAGGGTCTTGCTCCATTTTTATTAAGATCAGAAGGTTTACAAGCATGATGGGCATGCACAGAGAGACAATGAAACTATCAACATTAATTCATGGGCATGAACATTAACTCATGAGCGTGGGGAAAAGGGGGTTTTGGAGATATGCAATGTTAGGGGTTTGGGTCAATACAAAACAAGATTCTGGTGCTGGATGGAAAGTTGTGTACAGCAAACATGAGACCCCAACTCTGTTTACCCAAACTGGCCTAGGGAATAAGAAACACAGAGAATGCTACCTCAGGGTCAACAAGGCATCTTTCTTTTACTAATTAGCCCCTCTCTGGGAAACTTCTCCCCACAGCCATCTATAGCCCTATTTACCCGTTTACCTAACTTAGTCCTTCCTTCCTGTGAAAGCAGCTTTCTGCTGTTGTCCTATACCTTTTTCCTACACTGGGGGCATTTGCTCCATTTACCTAATCTTATTTACCTAATCTTGTTTACCCTAACTTGGATGTGTTCATCCCATGGCTTCCTAATTCTTTATGCCTTGTTAATCAATCAGTGCAGGCTCAGGGAATTCCTAAACTTCTTCCCCACAAACTATAGGCCAATATCTCTGATGAACATGGATGCAAAAATTCTCAACAAGATACTAGCAAACTGAATCCAACAATACATTAAAAGAATTATATACCATGATCAAGTCGGATTTATTCCTGGGCTGCAGAGGTGGTTCAATATTCATGAATCAATCAACGTGATACACTACATTAATAAAAGAAAGGATAAGAACCATATGATTCTCTCAATAGAAGCAGAAAAAGCATTTGACAAAGTGTAGCATCCACTCTTGATAAAAATCCTCAAAAAAGTAGGGACAGAGGGAATATACCTCAACATCATAAAGGCCATATACAAAAGACCCACAGCTAACATCACCCTCAATGGGGAAAAAACTGAGAGCTTTTCCTCTAGAGTCAGGAACAAGACAGGGATGCCCACTCTCTCCATTGTTATTTAACATAGAATGTAAGTCCTAGCCTCAGTGATAAGACAACAAAAAGAAATAAAAGACATCCCAATCAGCAAGGAAGAAGTCAAACTTTCTCACTATTCAACTTGATACCCTATGTAAAAAATCTGAGGGGCACCTGGGTGGCTTAGTCAGTTGAGCGTCCAACTTTGGCTCAGGTTATCATCTTGCAGTTCATGAGGTTGAGCCCCTAATCAGGCTTGCTGCTGTCAGCACAGAACCCTTGGGATTCTCTGTCCCCCTCCTTTTTTCCCTCCCCTACTTGTGCTCTGTCAAAAAAAAAAATATAAACATTTAAAAAAAAGAAGAAGAAAACTTGAAAGACTCCACAAAAAAAAAAAAATGGCTAGAACTGATTCACAAATTCAGTAAAGTTACAGAATACAAAATCAATATGCAGAAATCTGTTGCATTTCTATACACCAATAATGAAGCAGCAGAAAAAGAAATCAAGGAATTGATTCCATTTACAATTGCACCAAAAACCGTAGAATACCTAGGAATAAACCCAACCAAGAAGGTAAAACATCTGTACTCTGAAAACTACAGAACATTTTTGGAAGAAATTGAAGAGGACACAAAGAAATGTAAAAACATTCCATGCTCAAGGATTGGAAGAAAAAATATTGTTAATATGTCTGTACTATCCAAAGCAATCTACACATTTAATGCAATCCCTATCAAAGTACTACCAGCATTGTTTGCAGAGCTAGAACAATCCTAAAATGTGTATGGAACCACCAAAGAACCTGAACAGCCAAAGCAATCTTGAAAAAGAAAAGCAAAGCTGGAGCCATCACAATTCTGGATTTCAAGGATATTACAGAGCTGTAGTCATCAAGACAGTATGGTACTGACACAAAAACAGACACATAAATCAGTGGGACACAATACAAAACCCAGAAATGGACCCACAACTATATGGTTAACTAAACTTCAACATACCTGGAAAGAATATCCAATGGAAAACAGATAATCTCTTCAGCAAATTGTGCTGGGAAAACTGGACAGCAACATGCAGAAGAAAGAAACTGGACCACTTTCTTACACCATACACAAAAGTAAATTCAAAACATACGAAAGACCTAAATATGAGATAGGAAACTATCAAAATCCTAGAGGAAAACATAGGCACCAACCTCTTTGATCTTGGCTGTAGCAACTTCTTACTCAACACATCACCAGAGGCAAGGGGAAAAAAGCAAAACTGAACTATTGGTACTCATCAAGACAAAAAGCTTCTGCACAGGGGCACATGGGTGGCTCAGTCAGTTGAGCGTCTGACTTGATTCCAGCTCAGGTCAAGTTCCCAGGATTGTGGGATTGAGCCATGGGTCATGCTCTGTGCTGAGTGTGGAGCCTGCTTGAGATTCTCTCACTCTCCCTCTGCCCTTCTTCCCTCCACTCTCTCTCTCTCAAAATAAAAATAATAAAATAAAATAAAAAGCCTCTGCACAGCAAAGAATACAATCCACAAAACTAAAAGGCAGCCTACTGAATGGGAGAAGATGTTTGTAAATGACATATTTGATAAAGGGTTAGTATCCAAATCTGTAAAGAATTTAGCAAACTCAACACCCAAAAACACAAATAATCCAGTTAAGAAATGGGCAGAAGATATGAATAGTTATCTTTCCAAAGAAAACATACAAAGGGCTAACAGACATATGAAAAAATTCTCAACATTACTCATCATCAGGGAAATGCAAATCAAAACTATGATGAGATACCACCTCACACCTGTCAGAATGGCTAAAATTAACAACACAGGAAACAAAAGATGTTGGTGAGGACGTGAAGAAAAGGAATACTCTTACACTATTGGTGGGAATGAAAACTGTTGCAACCATTCTGGAAAACAGCATGGAGGTTCTTCAAAAAGTTAAAAATAGAACTACCCTATGATTTGGCAATTGTGCTACCAGGTGTTTACCCAAACGATACAAAAATACTAATTCAAAGGGGCACATGAACCATGATGTTTATAGCTGCATTATCAATAATTGCCAAATTGTGGAAAGAGCCCAAATGTCCATTGACTGCTAATGGATAAACAAGATGTGGTGTATATACACAATGGAATATTACTCACCCATAAAAAAGAATGAAATCTTATTGTTTGCAATGACATGGATGGAGTCACAATGTATCATGCTAAGCAAAATAAATCAGTCAGAGAAAGACAAATGCCATATTATTTCACTCATGTGATATTTAAGAAATGAAACAAGTGAACAAAAAAGAGACAGGCAACCCATAAAACAGACTTTTTATTATTATTTTGAGAGAGAGAGCAAGAACATGAGCAGGGGAGGGGCAAAGAGAGAGAGAAAGAGAGAATCCCAAGTAGGCTCCATGGTCAGCTCAGAGCCTGACACAGGGCTCAATCCCACAATGGTGAGATCATCAGCTGAGCTAAAAGCAAGAGTCCGATGCTCAACTGACTGACCCACCCAGGTGCCACCAGACTGTTAATGATAGAGAATAAACTAAGGGTTGATGGAGAGAGATATGTGTGTGTAGGGGGGGGATGCTAAATGGGTAGTGGTCATTAAGGAGGGCACTTGTTGGGATGAGCACTAGGTGTTATATGTTAGTGATGAATCACTGGCTTCTACTCCTGAAACAAACAAAAATAATTTTAAAATTTAGTGGTTTGAAGCAACAGTAAATGTTTATTTTCCTTTCATAGTTTCTGTGGGTCAGAAATTTGGGAGTAGCTTGGTTTGGCAGTTCTGACTCTGTGAATTTGCATAGAGTCCTTGGGTGTGTTTATAAAATTCTCATAAAATATTATTTATATTTCTCACAAAAGAGTAAAAACTTTTTGGAAAGAAAGACTTTTTATTTCCTGTAACATCAATATATAATACATGATGTTACAAATAGAGAGATACTAAATCTATTCATGATGAATAATGATTGTGAATCAGAACAGAACTCTGCTTTTTTCTGCTTAACTTGCTATAGTTATACATGATTTCATCTCTTCTCATTAGAATGATAAAGCCCCAAACCAAAAAAAAGTTACATGATACCAGATTACCATAGGGAATCTTCTCAGTTCTGAAAACAGTGAATTTTTCCTTGATATTATTGTTCATATGATATATCCATAAAGGAGATATTTTATTCCTTCTGAAGGGAAAGCAGGGGAATATTAAGTTGAATTCTTAGCATGTGATATTTAATGCACAGCCTCAATGCCAGTTTAAACAAATACATTTCAATCTTTTTCATTTCTATGGAAGTAATAACGAAATCTTGACACGTATTCCATTTCATCACAAAAGTCTTAAAAGCTATTTTTTCTTAAAAATAAAACTACCTAATTTAGAAACTTAACACCTGTGCCATTGTTTTTTTCTTTCTTCAATGATCTTTAAGATCGCAAAAGCTCTTCTTCCATCAATGATGAAGAGAAATCACGGCCACATCGTCACAGTGGCTTCAGTGTGTGGCCACGGAGTGATTCCGTATCTTATTCCATATTGGTAAGTATTATTTTCCAGCAATGCCATATAGATATATACATACATACATACATACATACATACATACATACTTTTAAGGGTTTATTAGACCTTAGATTCTAATCCTCATAGCACGGTTATCTATGAAACTGGTTGTAATTGTTTAAAATGGTTTTAGATTTCTGAAAACTCTGTAAAGCAGAGGTATGTACACAATGTCAAATATGTTTTCATCATATCCTTGAATGAGTACATGTTGATTAAAGAAACAGGGAACCCACAGACTAAGAAGCAAAACATACAGAAGTCCAAATGGACACAAATGTATGCCATAGCGTGCATGCCCAAGGTAAGCTAACTAGAGTGACCCCTGAATCAAAACATTTTCCAGTATGCTTATGCCATGAAAGATTTTGTGTGGATGTGTGTGGGGAGGGGGGGGGGAGAGAGAGAGAGAGAGAGAGAAACAGAGAGAGACTGAGAGAAACCATCTACCTGATTAATAGAGGCAGATAGTACACCTCATGATCTACCAAGGACACAAAGAGAAAGGTTGGGAGGCCCTGAGGATACACTATTGTGTAAAACATCTTTTCCTTATAAACTTCTTCAACGGCATCCCATTTCCTTACTTCTGCTTTATATTAACTTCATAGAAAATTTTAACTTGCTAACATGTGGTCCTGTTCCTTTGGTAACAGCCAACACATGAGTATCAGTGGGAAGGTGTAGAGGTGCATAATTAATGGATTTATTATTTACGTGTACATAATGTTTAAGGTTAAACTGTGTCATGGGCAAAATTACTTCTGACACCAAATGTAGTCACAGATATGGCTACATTTCATTGAAGTTAGGGAGTCATCGCAGACATACGGTGTTTCAAGCTGTCTCTATCATCTTTTTTTAATGTTTATTTATTTTTGAGAGAGACAGAGTGTGAGTGGGGGGGGGGGCAGAGAGAGAGAGAGGGAGACACAATCCGAAGCAGGCTCCAGGCTCTGAGCTGTGAGATCATGACCTGAGCTGAAGTCAGATGCTTAAACCGACTGAGCCACCCAGGTGCCCCTCAAATTGCCTCTACTGTCTTAAAATACAAGTAAGAATTTCACAGATTAAACGTTTGCTATTGTTTTAATGTTTAGAAATATGAAAACTCAATATAATAATACTTTCCCTTTTTCTCTTCTCCCTTAAAAAAGCAGCCTTTAACTTTACTTTTCTTCTTGTCACCTGGGTAAAACCTACAATGATTAGGGGCACCTGGGTGGCTCAATCGGTTGAGCATACAACCTTTGATTTCAGCTCAGGTCATGATCCCAGGGTTGTGGGATTGAGCCCTGTATCAGGCTCTGCTCTGAGCATGGAGCCTGCTTGGGATTCTTCGTCTCACACTCTCTGCCTCTCTCCCCCACTCTCTCTCTCTCTTTCAATAGATAGATGATAGATAGGTAGGTAGGTAGGTAGTTAGATAGATAGATAGATAGACAGATAGATAGACAGATAGACAATAGATAGATAATGAACCTTTATATAGATTATTATAGGTAATGCAGTTATGGGGCTTATGCTATACAACTTAATCCTTAAAACAGCCCGATATTTTATCACCTGCACTTAGAAACCAGAAAATCAGGGATGCCTGGGTGGCACAGTCAGTTAAGTGTCCAACTTCAGCCCAGGTCATGATCTCATGGCTCATGGGTTCTACCCCCGTGTCAGAGTCTGTGATGACAGCCTGCTTTGGATTCTGTGTGTGTGTCTCTCTCTCTCCCCTCCCCTGCTCATGCTCTGTGTGTGTGTGTCTCTCTCTCTCAAAAATGAATAAATATTAACAACAACAAAAAAAAGAAATCAGAGAATCAAAGAAGATAAAGTGATATGCTGAAGGCAGCACACACAAGCATACTCACACCACCCAAGGACTTTTTACTCCAGATTTTCATAATGAAATTATGAAGCCAAAGTGGCCTCCAGTGTCAAGAGAGAAACTAGCAACTCAGTTAACAAGAGAGGAGAAATGTATAGGGTCCCACAGAAGTTTCGATATAGATGTTAATTACGTAGTTTTTCTAAATATGTCTTTCTTGATTTGTATTTTTCAAAATAAAACAGCAATTAAAAGTCATGAGGCAACAGTTTGAAGATTGAATAGAAAACCTTACCTGTAGGGTGGAAAAGTGAGTGGTAAGCCAGTTAATACATTACTAGGATTTGCTCTATTGCTATCATTGCTAAGAAAGAAAGTGGTACATTTAAGAAACTGTAAATGAAAGTTGATGACCAAGTGGAAGATTTGGGATATTGGCTTCTATTTGTTCTTGAACCAAATCAGCATTGCCTTCTTACAGAAAGCTGTAGAATGTGTTTCACCTTATCTTGGCTAATGATGGTGTGTAATTCTCTTACAGTTCCAGCAAATTTGCTGCTGTTGGCTTCCACAGAGCTCTGACATTAGAACTTAAAGCCTTGGGAAAAACTGGAATCAAAACCTCGTGTCTCTGCCCAGTTTTTGTGAATACCGGGTTCACCAAAAACCCAAGCACAAGGTGAGGTCAAAGTCAAGTTAGGATGAAAATATGGCATGAGAAATTGACATGAAAACTGTAGAAGTTTTTAGGTGGGTCAATGAGAAATAGAAAAAAAAAACAAAAAAGGGAAAATGTTGTCTTTTTTTTTTTTAACGTTTATTTCTTTTTGAAAGAGAGACAAATCAAGAGTGGGGTAGGGGCAGAGAGAGAGAGGGAGACACAGAATCTGAACCAGGCTCCAGGCTCCAAGCTGTCAGCACAAAGTCTGATGTGGGACTGAAACTCACAAACCATGAGATCATGAGCTGGGCGGAAGTTGGACATTTAAAAGACTGAGCCACTCAGGTGCCCCAAAATGTTTTCTTAATGTTGCATTGCTTTTTTCACTTTTAAATGAGATGAACAAAAGGAAAAAAATGCGTTGAGGACTAGTAGGAATGACCAGATACCAATGAGTTAAGCAATTGGGGTTTATTTGTCATCAGGTTAAAGGTTCAACACACTCAGATGCCAAGAGGGAGTGAGGGGGTGGAGCAGGCTGGAGAGATGTTTTTTTTTTTAAAGCTTATGTATTCATTCATTCTGAGAAAGAGAGAGACAGAGAGGGCATAGGGGGAAGGGCAGAGAGAGAGGAGAGAGAGAATCCCAAGCAGACTTCTAGCTGTGCTCTTAGTGCACAGCCAGATGCAGGGCTTGAACCAACCAACCATGAGATCATGACCTGAGCTGAAATCAATAGTCAGACACCCAACCAACTAAGCCACTCAGGTGTCCCTGGAGAGATGTACTTAAGGGGATGTCAAGAATGTCTTCTCCTGGAAACCCTACCCCCAAAATGGATTATACTGAACTTCCCCCTCTCCCATTTGTGGTTCATCCTCCTCAAATAGAGTATGCAAAGTTACACATATATGCCCTTCCATTTTCCATGGTGCTAGCATGAAGTACTCCAACATTTTTCAAACTTGTCTGGTGCTAAGAATCATCACCTATGCTTCCATAAAAAATAAATGTTTTTAGGGTCTTCCTTAGAGATTCTGATTCAGTAGCCTGAGGTGAGCTCTAAGAATGAGTTGTTTTGTTTTGCTTTGCTTTGCATTATAAGCATACCTACCAGGTGATTCTAGAGACAGGTTTGGAAAACATTGATGTATTAAATATAATCACAGCATTTGATTATAGCCTTGATTACCATTTGATTACCATTACCACCTTGGCCTCTATAAAAATGCAAATGTTCCTAGAAGCAGCAATAAATTGAGTCCCTAATCCCTTAGTCAAGGTGAATTTCTATGACAACTTTGTTTCTGGTATGGGAGGATTTGAGACCATAAGAGAGGAGAAATTGGTCATGAAAGGAGAGTAAAAGGCAGAAAGGTGAGCCGAAGAGCACTAAAATTAAGATACCTTCTTCACAAATTTGCCTCAATTCTGGTATTTTTCTGCTGCAGGTTAATAAAATACACTAACCTTGCTAATCTGAAGCCAGTTTATTTCTGGAGGGGAATTAGTCCTAAATCTATTCATTCAAAGAGCTAAGAGATTCTTTTTTAAGCTTAGCCTCATTTGAAGCTACTGACTCTGAACCCTGAATTGTCTGGATTGTCCCTGGAGCTGTGGTCAGTCCCTGACAGTGGAGTCCTTAAAAGTGCTAGACCATAGACACTTAGAAATAATATAATATTTAAGTAAAAACTATGGTATGATTGGGACTCTGGGCTCAGTTTTCTTTAAAAAGCAAAGTGGGCCTAATAAAAACCCTCTTGGTAAGCATTTATGCTTAGTGTATGCCAAGAGAACCAGGTGAACTGGCAGAGAAGGTACAGTAGACGAGCAGAGTAAGGCTAATATAACCCCAGGTAGTGTGGATGCCTGGTAGCAACCCCAGGGGCTGACAGCCAATGCTGAAAATACACCCAGGCTGCTGGATTCTGAATATTCCTCGGCAAAGGCTAAAATGTCCATATACCAAAGAGAGGTTTGGCTCAGAGACTGCAATGATAAAACCAGCTAGCAAAAATCAGGGAGAGAAAAGGCAGAACCCAATAATTTAGAGAGGTATTGATTTCTATTACTCTCTGCTGGCTTACTACTCACTGCCTTGGAAACCCCAATCACATAATAATCTGTAGTAAATCATAGAATATGTCAGGGAAGGAGGTTTTAATATTCATAAACTGCTCACTTAACTCTTCTACACAACCTTTTTATTCACTGGCTGTTCAGCCCATGCCTAAACATCTTCATTTTGATGCAACTATTCCAAATCATTTACATTCTTTTTTTTTTAATTTTTTTTACAAATAGTTTATTGTCAAGTTGGTTTCCATATAACACCCAGTGCTCATCCCCACGAGTGCCCTCCTCCATGCCCATCTCCTCCCTCCCCCCCCCACACCCATGAGTCCTCAGTTTGTTCTCAGCATTCAAGAGTCTCTCATGGTTTGCCTCTCTCCCTTTCCCCCACCATTTTTCCCCTTCTACTCCCCCATGGTCCTCCGTTAAGTTCCTCCTAATCCTCCTATATGTGCAAACATATGATATTTGTCCTTCTCTGCCCCAAATCATTTACATTTTAAACTCTAATCATCGTCTTCCACTAATGGGCATTCTACACTGGGCCTGTGGTTATGAATGTTTCTCAAGAACCCATGTAGGGGTACCTGGGTGGCTCAGTTAGGTGGTGTCTAGCTTTTGATTTTGGCTCAAGTCATGATCCCAGGGTCATAGAATCAAGCCCTGCATCAGGCTCCAAGCCAAGCATAGATCTTGCTTGAGATTCCCTGTCCACCCCTCTCCCACTCCAACCCTCCCTCTCTCTCTCTCAAAAAAAAAAAAAAAAAAAAAGAACCCACGTACACAGTCTTCAGTATAAGCAAAGTCATACCTCCAGTTGCAATGCAATACTCCCTGTGTACATCTCGAACCCTCATTAAGTTGCATTATAGGCAATTCAGAGGTACATGTCAAGTAGTAAATGCCTTCAAATCCAGCTTGAAAGGATATGGGGTAACCCCAGAAGGGAGTATGCTTAGCAATAGCTTTGTATTAAATAAAACCTGAAGAAAGATGTCAGATGTTTCCTTTCTTTCCCATGAGTAATCCTACTCACTACTCTTCCTTGACTCTTCACATCTGTAATCTAATTCCTCTCCACCTTTTTGATATTTTGACTATGTAAGTGATAAAACATCCATCCTGGGTGTGAAAGTTTAAGACTGTGATAACAAAACATTCCCATGGCATGGGGAGGAGGTGCAGTCAGGCAGTGAATCCTGGGACCTTTAATTTTTTATTCTTATTTTTTAAAGATTTTTTTAAATGTTTATTTAGTTTTGAAGGAAAGAGAGAGAGAGCGTGAGCAGGGGAGGGTCAGAGAGAAAGGGAGACACAGAATCTAAAGCAGGCTCTAGGCTCTGAGCTGTCAGCACAGAGCCCAACGCAAGGCTTGAACTCACAGACTGTGAGATCATGACCTGAGCCAAAGTCAGAGGCCCATCTGACTGAGCCACCCAAGCACCCCAATCCTGGAACCTTTTAAATCCTGATTTGGTGACATGATAAGTTAATTCTCCTGCCTTTGTTAATTAAAATAACAACAACCCAAAAAAACCCAAAAACCTTTTTTTCTTCTTAATCATAGACTATGGCCTATATTGGAGACAGATGAAGTTGCAAGAACCTTGATAGATGGAATACTTACCAATAAGAAAATGATTTTTGTTCCACCATATGTCAATATATATCTAATACTAGAGAGGTAAGTACAACACAAAACATCTAAAATGCTAAAACACCAATAGAACTATTATCATGATGAAGAGTGATGAAGAGTCGTTCAGTTGTGAAAGATGCTGTAGAAACTCTCTGTGCCTGAGGAGAACGTTTACGTTTTCTCTGTTACTGCTTTATTCAATCTAAAGAAAAAAAAATGATTCATTTGCTCTAACATCTCAGTTTAATCTTTGCCAGAGATTATTCCAACTGAAGGAAAGACAGATGAAAGAGAACACAGGATCGCTAAAAATAAAGGGTCTGTTTAAAAGCCTCCTGGAGTTTTGACTGAAATTGCATTGAATATATTGGTCAACTGGGGAGAATTGACATTTACAATTTTGAGGCCTCCAATCCAAGAAAACAAAGAACACAAAATATCCTTCCTTTTTGCTCTTTTATCTTCTTTAATATCTCTACACACCATTTTATAGTTTTTAGCGTAAAAGTCTCACCCAGCTTTTATCAGGTTTATCCCAAAGCATTTCATCTTTTTTTTTTTTTTATGTTTTATTTATTTCTAGGAGAGAGAGAGAGAGAGACAGTGTGAGCAGGGGAGGGTCAGAGAGAGAGGGAGTCACAGACTGTAATAGGCTCCAGGCTCTGAGCTGGCAGTCGGCACAGAGCCCGACGTGGGGCTCGAACCCACGAACCGTGAGATCATGACCTAAGCGAAAGTCAGACGCTTAACCGACTAAGCCACCCAGGCGCCCCAAGCATTTCATCTTTTTTGATACTATTGCAAAAGGCATGTAAAACAATTTTTCTATTTCCCATTGTTTGGTGCTGGTGTGTGCGTTTGATTTTTGAATTTTATCTGGTATTTCAGCAACCTTGCTAAACTCATTTCTAGTAGTTTTTTGTAGATTCTAACAGACTTTTTTACAGATTATTTTAGATGATCGTATTGTTGGCAAATAAAGACACTTTTACTTCTTTTCCAATCTATATGGTTTTTCTTACTATATGACACTGGCTAGAATTTTGGATGCAATGTCATATAGGATTAGTAAAAGCATACATCCAAGTATTCTTCTTGAGCTTAGGAGAAAAGTATTTAGTATTTCACAATTAGGTACAATATTAGCTGTAGATGTTTTTTCATAGATGCATTTTATCATGTTGAGGAAGTTCCCTTCTATTACTATTTTGATGAGAGTATTTATCAAGAGTAAATATCAATTGTCAAATGCTTTTGCTGATGATATTAAGATCATATGTTCTTTCCATTTTAGTTTGTTGATATGGTGAGCTACACAGATTCATTTTAAAAAATAAGCCACCCCTGCACTGGAACATCTTTGTCTGAGTTTGTATCATGATAATATTGACTTCATAGAATGAGTTGGAAAGTATGCCCTCTTCTTCTCTTTTCTAGAATAGCTTGTATGGTATTGGCATTATTTTTTCTTTAAACATTTGGTAGAATTCACCCATGAAGCCATCTGAGCCTGCTGTTTTCATTATGGGCAAGTTTTTAACTATAAATCCAATTTCTTTAAGACCTATAAGGCTATTCAGGCTACGTATTTCTTCTTAGTAATGTTCATCCTTCAGAGAATTTGTCCATTTCATCTAAGTTGTCAAATTTATAGGCATATATTTATTCATAATCTTCCCTTATTGTACTTATAATATCTTTAGAATGTCTTATTCCTGATATTGGCAATTTACATTTTTATTTTTCTGTTCTCACCAGTCTGACTAGAGGTTTATTAATTTAGTGATTTTTCCAAAGAACTAGCATTTGGTTTCTTTTATTTTTTAATCCATTTTTTGTGATCTATTTCACTAATTTCTGTCCTGATCTCTATTATTCCTTTTATTCTGACTATTTTTGATTTAATTGTCTCATCTTTTTCTAGTTTGTCAATGTAGGAACTGAATTCATTGATTTTTTTTCCATCATAAGCACTTAGTATTCTAAATATCCCCCTGTGTACTGTTTTTAGTTCTGTCCCTCAAATTCTGACATACTATGTTTTCATTCATATTCCATTAAAATACTTTGTAATTTCCCTTTTGTATCATGGTTTACTTAGAAATGAATTTTTTTAGTTTTTAACTTTTTGGAGATTTTCTAGACATTTTTCTGATTTCTAATTTAATTAAACTTTGTATGACTTGAATATTTTAAATTTATTGGAACATGTTTAAGCTCAGAACATGGTTTATTTTGGTAAGTGTTCCACATGCACCCAAAAAGAATAAGTATTCTATATTGTTGAGTTTTCTATAAATGTCAGCTTAGGTCAAACTGGTTGATAGTGTTGTTCAAATCTTCTATATTTTTTACTGATTTTCTGACTGCTTATATTATCAGTTATTGAAATGAGGCTCAAATCTCTAGCTATTGTTGTGAATTTGTCTATTTGCTTTGCTTTGCTTTCCATTTTTGCTTCACATATTTTGAAGCATTTTTATTATGTGCATAAGCAATTAGGACTATTATGTCCTCTAAATGAATTAGCTGCTTTGTTGTTAAACAAGGATGTGACCTTGTTTATCCTTGGAAACATATTTTGGTGTGAAATCTACTGATATTACTATAACCACTTCAGCTTCTTTATATATATATTTTTCCAAATAGTTTATTGTCAAGTTACTTTCCATATAACACTCAGTGCTCATCTCCACAAGTGCCCTCCTCAATACACATCTCCCCCTTCCCCCCTCCACACCCATGAGTCCTCAGTTTGTTCTCAGCATTCAAGAGTCTCTCATGGTTTGCTCTCTCCCTCTCCCCC